ACATCTTATATGTAATAGAAATGTGTAGGGGGGGTGTATGGTGTGTGGTCATTAAATATGTATTCTGATATATGTTCTTCACAGAAAATAAGCCAAAGCCAGTGAGTCTCAGTTTTGAAAAATTAAATAATTATATCATTTTTCTTTTATTAAAAAGTGAAAACGGGTCCCACAGACCCGAACACCACACAAGGGTTAAGAAACTCTGCTGTGTTGACTTTACTAAATGCGTTTTAAGCTCCTGCAAGCCACACAAAAGGGCTTGGCTTGCTACATTTGTTCCCCAGGCCTTGAGTTTGACACGTACGTCATAGAGGTAGAACTCCAAAAGTAATGAGGCTCTGCCCTCATTAACATATACAGCTCTTGAGGGTAACACAATCCTTCTGCTCTGGGGGGAGGTGGGGTCACATGTGTCCATTCCCTAAGGCATGTACAGGATAGGTGCAAAATCCAACACTCCTCCAACACATGCAATAGCAGTCTGCGTGTATTTAACAAAGACAACTTGGATTGGCTATGTCCGATGTTATAGAAAGCACAAATGGAGCACGCTGTGTTTGTAAACTGACAGCAAGTACTGTAGATCTCTTACTTCCTCTGCAGGGGGTGCTATTGATGCAGTTTGAAAGACATGCATGGAGTGTGTTGTTGCAAAATTGGCAATGTTTCTAAATCGAATCCATCTAAACTCAGCCCAGTTTGCACTTTGCAGGATATGATGGGTTTAGAGTTACGGTTTTTTCAGCTTTTGTTATAGTTTTAATTTCTGCCATAAAGATTTCTGCCGTAGCCTTTTGTTTTGTTGTGTTTTCTCACTGTGTCCACGACGAATATTGTCTGTCCATGATACAAAGATTATAGATATTTGTAAGAAGTGGACACACGAGTTTCCGCTTCCTCTGAAGTTTAGATACGATTAGTTATCCTGTAACCCCCACTATCCCTACTCACTTTTTCAATGGGTCTTAACGGGAGTTGGCATAGTAGAGTTGCGTTACTGCCTCCTACTGGTTTACTTGTGAACATTGCTAGAAATAAATCCGCCGTGCGTTATATTGACGTGGATGTGTACTTCTGAGTGACGTAATACTTCAGTGTTGGACTTTGTGTTTACTTTTACTCGCCATTCATACAAACAAACTCGTGTAAGACACACATGACAAAGCTCATCAGCCTTTAATCATCTGTCTTTGACACTCAGCATTAACTCAACACAATTCCCTATACAGTCATCAGGTTTCTAGGTGACCGTCGTCTTTCCAGAGAAACCATCATTAAGTACAGAGTGTATTCCATCAGATATTCGTTCCCTCTCGTATTCCATTCCTTCACAACGAATGAGGCTTTGTTAAAAAAAAAAAAAAGAAATTGGTCTGAAAGTGTGACTTTTTTTTCTTTAACTTGATCTCATACTAATGGTTGAGAAAAAAAACAGACATTCACACAATTAAAATAGAAACACCGAAGCTGGAAAAAAGACACATTTAAGCCCATGGATCTTATTAGCTAAACAAAGAGTGAGTCGTACATGATAATTACTGCCATTAAATGTGCTGAGAAACTGTGATTAATAACATGTGACACATACAAAGTTACTATTTTATCCTTCCTATCTTTGTCTTCTCTTATACTCCCTTTGTTGTTGTTGTTGTTTATCTGGCATTTCTCTACGGTCTTCAGGTTTCTCTATAATAATCCTCTAGTCATAGTCATTTATTTAAAAGTTTTAGTTGTTTATCATGTTTCCTGAAACTCTCCTCTCTGCTCTCTCCTGCCTGACATCATACAGACGCCACTAGAGCGTAGTTTCCACGCCTGCATTCATAAAGGAAGGAGCGAGGGAAACAGAGAAGAAGGTTTTTAAACATGACTACCACACGAACGCCTGAGAAAGAACGAGGGCTGCACACTGACAAAAATGTTTATAGTTAGACTGTGACCGAAAGGATATACTTCCAGTCACAGGCTAATTCAAGGTCTAATCTGGTCTTTGTGCAGCCAGTTGTGAGTCCTAGTCTTTCTCAGGGAAATACTTGTTGGTAAAAGGTCACCTGACCGTTCACGGTGTTGTCAGCTGATAAACATGAGAACCAGCTTACAGCTGCTCTCATCCTCAGCTCACAACACCTGGAGGTCAGGCTCATGGTGCTGGCTGATTCTGCTGTCAGTCAACAAGAGGAGAGCGTCACTGTCAGGTCTCCCTGACATTGTCAGTCACGTCACCTGTCAGTCTGTGTCACCATCAGGAGGCGGGCAGCCCCTCCTCACAGTGTCACAGACCGACGGGCTGCTGGCCTCCTGTTGACTCAAACAGCCTACGTCAGTGTCAGCATCAGGTAAGCTGGGCGGAGGTCTGACCGTCAGAGCCTGCCGACAGTTGTCAGCTGTACTTTGACTTTCATTTGACCCTGGTCTGGTCTCAGGACCTCACAGGGGCTCCCTGAGCCTCCTCCTGCGGCATTAGCTGCACCTGCATTACATGCTGTATCAGGTCTGGATCTGCAGAGTGATGCCCATCATGTCTAGAGAAATCGTGGCTTCTCTGACCGTGACCATGGTTGTGGTGCTGACCAGTGCCATCATCACCACCGTGGTGATGACCATGGTGGTGATGATGGCCGTAGCCTAAGCCACGTGGGTGAAAATCGTGAGCACCCCCATGACCGTGATGACGCCCGTGATGGTGGTCGTGGTCATGACCCTGACCGTGTCCTTCAGCTGCTGACGCATCCGCGTCAGGCTGCGGTACTGCTGTCTGTGTGCACTCCTCTGGAGTCTCAGGACTCTGTAGGAAGAAAGAGGAGAGGAAATAGAACCGACACCGAAACAGGACCAGGATTCATGTGAGTATCTTTATGTGTGGTGTGTACCTCGTGTGTGCAGATCCCACAGATGTGGTTGCAGTAGGTGTCTTTGATTGCTCTTTCAACATGACCATGTGAGATGACGTAGTATGGCAGGGAAATGTGGTGGGTGAGACGACCGCACCTGAGTCAAAAACAACAACAAAGTGTTACATTTGTGTGGCAAGTATAGAAGTTACAGCAGATCTGGATGGTTTTTATATTTCCTCATTATCTCTATCCATTTCCGAGGTAACTCACCTGTCATAGATTAAGAAGTCGTTCTTGTCACCGTTCAGTGTCTGCCAGACATCTGTCTGCTGCTCGTCCTGTTTGTAAAGTGTGATGTTCTCGGACAGTCTCGCTTCAAGCATGCTGTGCACGCGTTGTGCCACCACCCCCTGGTGGTTAACGACCATATAGGCCACATTCTTCAACCCCTGACCCTCCAGGCTTTGGCGCAAGCCATCCATACTGTATTGAGACCAGAAGGCAAGTATATATATATATACACACTGAATATTCTCCACAAACACATGACTTGACTGACATCTGATCAAAGGCATCAAGTTCATTTTTTTCCTTTAGTTTTTTTTCCCCTTTTTGTCTGTATGTAATTTTAGTGCATTTTAAATCAATTTATTTAACTTTTTCTTACTTTACCCTATTAGAAAAAAAACATGTATGCTCTGATTAAAAAAATCTAACCCTTTGTGATAAACATGGACTAGATTAATTTAAAACTCATGTTTTATTATGAATAAACAAAGGCCAGGTCAAAGGTCACTGGGGTACATGTGTTAGACAAATACCTGGCAGCCTGCACCAGACAGAACAGTCAGCTGGCTTGCAACAACGCCACCACCGTCACCTGACCCATCGTCCCCTTCATGGGCTCCACCTCCCCTATTTTCCAGGATGGCGGTAGCCGACATAGACGCCCATCTCCGTCACTCTCTGCTCCGCCCCCATGGACCAGGCAGAGAGTGAGGAGCAGGGGGAGGTACACCCGCATCCTCCTTACTCCACTGCCCCAAATCTGCTGAGCACAAACAACAAGTACAAAAGAGCAGGGTTACCATTGTGTTGTTCCCCCAAATTAGCATCTGTTCACTCATCAATAAAGAATCTCTGAACTGAAGCTAATTAAAAAAAACAAAAACAACATACTAAGATTAAAATATACTGGTAACACAGCAGAAGGAAAGTATGAAGAAGCCAATTACTGCAGTATTTGACTACTAATACAACATACTAATTATTCAGAACATACTTAAATACCCAGTTTGCAAAATGTATTTGGATACACATTCCTGACTGCCTGACAAACTAAGAGGCAGGAACTGCAACCCTTCAGTCAGATATTTTTAGCACATATTCAATGCACTCTCTGAAAGACATCGCATAAAAATAATTTTATTTTCTGCAGTTACGTCAATATGCCTTCATTTTTCACTCACCCTTTAGTCTGAAAGTTCTTTTCCTCTGCTCAGTTCTTCACTCTTGCAACTCCTCGAACAAAAACAAGCCTCCTCCCCCTCTGACTCCTGCTTTTATAGTCTGCTTGTTGTTTTCTATCAGGAAGAAGGACAAAGTTCAGTGCCAGCTTTGTGCTGATTCTCTGTTTTTTTCCAGTCCAAACATAATATTTGACCAATATATTCTAGGAAATAAAATGTTAAGAAAAGCAGACAGTTACTCATTAACTACCTCATTAAAGTTTAAAAAGTTTTAAAAAGTGGAGTGGGGCATTGACTGTGGATTCTGTCCAAACGTGTTTCTGCAAAGTCAGCGATGAACAGACTCCTTCACCACAGATAAGACACATACTTTCTGAGCACATGTGCAGGGATTGATTTCATACAGAAAAAGCAGAAAACTGAAGAAACAAATAAACAAAACAAATGTTCACAGGAAAAGCCATCGAAGTCCATGAAGGAAATGTAACATTTAGCCAGTGATCTGGTCATACAGCCAAGGGCTACGTGCAGCAGAGCAGATGATCTGTTTACAAAAATAGGCCATGAGGTTCTAGGAGGAGAGGTCACAGTTCTCATGTTACTGGGGTCAGACTTCAGTGTTGTGATTTAATCTGTATTGAAATATGTTCGAACATAAACTGCAACGTAAATATAACTTGTGGGGATGGGACCAGTTTATACCATTGATACATAAGGTGTGTGCAGCAACAGTGCATAAATTGTCTGTAGGAGAACGATAGTATTTGACGGTGACAAATGTTTTAGGGTCAGGGGTCAGAGATAAGGAGTAGGTGCAGAATACTACCATGTCTGTTAGAATTGTTACTACATCAGGGTCTAAGTCAGGGGTGAGCAAACTTTTTGACTCATGGGCCACAATTGTCCTAAACTTGAATCGGGGTATGGGGGTGGCAGGGCAAGTCAGGAGCAGATAGATTGAGCGCGCATGTGAACAAAGATAAATGATATTTAAAAGTCATGCATTAAGGCTAAAACGCTAAAATCCTCTTACCATTTTCTACGCCATCTATGGGGGAAACATGGGTATTGGAGGGAAATGGCAGAAGTATAATGATAATATAAATAGATGATATCATTTGGAAAATTTTGGCGGGCCGGTTTGGGCCATATCCAGCCCTCGGGCCTTAGTTTGTTCATGCCTGGTCTAAGTGGTCATTTAATAATAAGATAACATTAAGACAACAACTGAATAACATCCAATCCTGTGAGTTAAAGCAAATAAATATATATTTTTTGTGTCTGTCTGTGAATAATATGTGGCGACCCAGACAAAAGAAAGAAGATGATGCAACAGAAAATAACGAGTTAAAGAACTGGAGCTGCAGCTGTTTTCTCTGAACCAGTGTTACTAATTTACAGTGCAGTATCTGTGACATGCCCCTACTGAGATCATCCTGACCTGAACTTCATCACAAGACTGCACTTCAGCCAGTTAAAACCTACCTACAAGGTATAATATAACAATTTAGTACAAGCATTACAGAACATGTCGGACACACAAGTTTTTATAGTTTTTATAAACAGCCATGAGAAAGATTAGATTCTTTTTTGCATTTTTTTTTTATCTTTCACTGCTGGCCATGACCCCTACTTTGAAAACCCCTCCAAAACACTTGTTATATTTATTATTATTATTATTTCTAATAATAATAATAATAAACTATATCTGGTAGTAAAACAACATGTGAACTGCTAGATTAAATTCCTAGATAATACTTGATGGTGCAAGTTGGTGCATGTGCTGACATAATATCCAGTATAAAATTACTCACTGTTTGAAATGTGATTAAAATGGAAACCTACTGAAAGCAGTTATTTGTGGTACGTGCAGATTCGCCTGCTTTGTGACAGTTAATCATTAGAACGTTGTACAATTGCAGCTGTAGCTGTCGTTAAAGAATAAAGAAAGAAATCTCAGTCGTAATTTAATGTCTAAGGTCGTTCCACTCCAGCCCTTGGAAGAAACAAACCTTTGTCTTCTGCTGGAGAAAAAGTAAACAAGTCAAGTCAAGCTGTGCTGCAATAGTTTTTCCAACTTCTGTTTTTTGTTGTGCAATACTGAACTGGTGTTTTTGCCATGGGTATTTCGCAACATTTGTTATGTGGAACATTACTTTTGTTAAAGAGGAACGATTAAAGGAAATGTCTGTGTGACTGTGCAAAGAAAGCATGTTTATTAATTATTTATTAATTTGTTTTGTTAACATTTTGCAGTGAAATTACCCTGTTTCCATAAAATCTTGTTTTACAAAAACAAAAACCTTCTTCTAATAAAAATCCCTTATTTTAAACCAGTGGTTCTCAAACTGTGGAACACGAGCCACCAGTAATACGCGAGCGCTCTGTAGTGGTATGTGGGGAAAATCACATTCACATTTTCACATTCAGATTATCAACTGAATAAATCTGAAACATACCATGCACAATTAATACAACATTTAGAAAAAATGTGTAGCTACTTGTGAGATTATGAAATAGGATGTCTGGTATTTACTTGTCTTTTTTTCTGCAATGCAAGTCTGTTGCTCACGTATAAGCATAGGCAGCAGAGAATCATAGGATCAGTTGCAAGTTGAACGTGGAACGAGCAGGGGAATTCTAATGTTGGTCATTATGGTGGTACTCAGAGAGATCAATGTTTTCTCAGGTGGTAGAGTATAAACAGTTTGAGAAACACTGGTTTAAACGATTTGTCTTGTTTATGGCGATGTTGTGGCCAGACGGTGGCGGTACTGCTCTTACCACGTAGCTTCCCACCCCTAGTAAAACGAGAAGAACGAGCTGCAACCTGTCACCAAGCAACGGTCGTTGGCGTCCACGACGTTTGCAATGGATTGTGGGAAACTGAGGCCTAAACGTTGAACGACCGCCCTTTTTTTTGAACGACGACTCTTGAACAGTGGTTCATGCGTCGACAGTAATATAATCGCAGAACAACTTACTAAAGCGCAAAGACCAAACACCAGGTACGTAACCGAGTGGATTTAATCACGATCTCTGATCTGCGGGTGGTTAAATAAGCGAATCGGTGTGGGAAAAGTGTATTTTAATGCGCGGTTTGATGACGTAATGTTGATTGTCGAACACGAAATGGCGAGCATGCTAGGAGGCCCGTCACTTGTGGGCTCTACTATGTTAATAATTATTCTTAACGATTACCCACACTTTATAGATTGGGTACTGTGTCTTGGTGAGTTCGTTTATCTTACGTATATGTGTGGGTTGAGTGCGATGCGGATTATTGTGCGAGGTTATGTGTTTGCTAGTTAGGCTAATGTCGAGCCAAGCTGTTTCCTTATTAGGGGACACCGTGTCATGGCTCGGATTAATTATAGTAATTCCGTCGTGCTGTATTTCACAGCGACTCAGTGATATAATCTATTCATTTTATAAATTTATATTTGACGACAAGAGTTATGTTAATCAGAGTTAGCAATATATCGTTATCATTGGTCGTCGCGTTCAATCCTCGTATTGCTACATGCGTTTGATTGAGGGTTTTTTTTTCTTTCCCCCTCGAGGGCTCGACGTATATTTTCTGCTGACTCAAATTATACTACAATCCCTTCTTAAGTTAACGGAACAGAAAATGCTTCCAAATACTCTTCTAAAATGTAATTTAATGTTGTGAAAACTAACAGCCATCAAAGCCATTTTAAGTGTTTCCTTTTGGTGACCAGGACTGCAAAAATTAGCTAACTAGCTGATGACTTCTTAGCACCTCAGAGCTAAAAACCGCTGTTCATAAAATAATCTGTCATACAAAATATTTACGTATGTTATGTGCTATTTATTTGTTCTTGTTCTTTTACTGTGGAATAAGTGGGCCAAATTACTTTAAATTAAATAAGATTTTGTCATAAAATAATACCGTAATTACTAAAAATAATTAACCACAGCCCTGTTGGTGACACGTAAATATTATCTAAGATTGTTGCGTATATAATAAGTGTATATTCTGGAATATCTCTCACTATTGCTTGGTGAAGTTATCCAGTTGTTACTATTAATAAAGTTGTAATACTAAATACCTTCTTGGTATTTTTTCACACTTTCTGCCATAACCGTACTGTAACATTTTGAGTATAATTATTATATACATAATAATTAATATATAATAATTATTAAATACACCAAATAATGTTTAGAAATTGTTATTTTTATTTTCCTCAATTTAAATAATTAAAAACTATGATGCATTTGAACTTAAATTATTGAAATAATATTAAAAGAAAGTAGTAGAAAGTAGAAAGGTACAAACTAAATTTTTAAGTCTTGCTCAGAGACAGTCAAACATTTTCAACATAGTTCTGGGTATATGTTACCATAATAAAATAACTTAAATGACCTCTCAGTTTTTCAACCTGTGTTTCCTATAGTGGACTACCAGCTGAATGATGGCGGCTGAGGTGGACGGGGAGGTGGATGCAGCCAATGAGTATCCAGGCCTCTACAAAGTAATGATGAAGAAACTTAACGAACAACGGCAGCTGGACCAGTTCACAGATATTACTTTGATCGTAGATGGTAAATTGGCATGTAACGCAAATCTCGAATAAATCCCTCAGGAGGTGTTATTAAGTTATTGTTTTGTCATGTAGGACACCAGTTCCGAGCCCACAAAGCTGTGCTGGCAGCATGCAGTCAGTTTTTCCACAAGTTCTTTCAGGATTTTACGCAGGAGCCACTAGTGGAGATAGAAGGTATTGTAATTAAATCAACTGTTAAGGTATAATCAGCTTAGTTGCGGTGAACAACTTGATCTCATGTCTGCTGTTTTGTTGCATATTTTTACAGGAGTGAGTAACACAGCCTTCAGGCAGCTGATGGAGTTCACATACACGGCCACATTAGCTGTAGCTGGAGCAGAAGAGGCCTTGGATGTGTGGAAGGCTGCAGAATACCTGCAGATGCAGGAAGCTATCAAGGCTCTGAACACCAGGTAAGCTTCAGCAGATGTGTCTGAGTTTGGATGGTGTAATTGTAATGTGTTTGTGTGTTCCAAAAATGTCTTCTGTTGTAGAATAAATGAGATGTCTTCAGTCGTGGCCACGCCCAAATGTAAAAAGAGGAAAATTGCGGAAACATCTAATGTGATTACGGAGACTCTGCCCACAGTGGAGGGGGAACAGGTCAGCGGTTCTGCAGAATTGCTGACAAAACCTTTTGTGTGTGCTACGCACATTTTTTTTTTAATAAATGAATGTCTTTTCCAGGTGGAAATTGAGGTGATAGGGGAAGGGTCTATCGAAGTGGAGGAGTCCGGTGTGGAGGAGGTGGTGGATGCAGCCAAGAATTCTCAGGCAGAGTCAGATGACTCCGCTTTGGCT